TTAACGTCTCCGCCAATTTTCAGCTCTATGCGAATTTTGGCCAAGTCAAATGTCTATTTTGACTGGTCTGTTTAAATATATATAGCTGGAGAGACCACAAGCATTGGGATTTCTAAAGAAATGATATCCTTAATTGGTGATATGAGGACTGAATGAATGAATTAATGCATCAAATATATTATAATAAACAGCAATTAACAATATAAAACAACATACATTATTAATTTCTTATATTTATGCGAAACACATTGATTAAAAATTTGAATTGATTGAAACGCGTTAGATAAACGCGATAGAATCCGTAAATTTAGTTTTATTCAACAATTAATCTTGGCCAATAACGGGATGCGATCGGAAGCGAAAGTAAATTTATTTCAGCGGCACCTGTGCTTGTACACAATAATTTAGCTTTAATTTTCTAGTTTTATTTCAAGTTTTATGACTATTTTAATTCTTTCTTTTTATTTATTTTATAATACAACTACGTTTCGCGTTAAACTACATATTAAGATAAATATTTTTTGTTGAATCATGTTACATATATTATGTTTTTCAAGTCGCGTACAGTATACGCGAGTGGTTTTGATTTATTTACCGACATTCGTATGGCGTCGAACTTAATGTAAGGGGAAAGTGGAAAGGAAATATTAAAAAAGACGCTGTTCCAATTTTTCAGATAACTTTGTTAACATTCATGACATGAATTCCTAACATAATATTAGATATCTAAAAGTTATGAAAATAAAACTCGACGTCAGAAAGAAAGTTAATGGATTAATATGATCAAGCTAACGCACTTGCAGCAGAACTTTTCAACTAATTACTCACCGTGATGTATTTATTTTCATGAATTATTTCATTGAAATACTAGATAGGAGATATCACATATATCGTTCCAATCCCATAAATATATGTGTAAAAGGAACGAGGTATGTTAACAAGCCAACATATTGTTGCTTGCCATAATTTCCAGATTAATTTCCAGAAGGTTCCAGATCTTTGATTCTAGAAAATTCCATGCTAGGACTTTTTACACCTAGTCAGTCGGGACCGGTATGTACTCGAACAGTCTAGATGTTTAAGTATAAGAGGCCCTATATAAGGTCGGTATAGACCGCGACCCGGTTCAGTATTTAATTGGTGATACAAACGAATATTTTGAAGCGATATAAATGCGAACTAAAGTAATCAGAAGCGCAATTGTGTCGTGTTTTAAGTTATAATTGGTGTTCGGTAATTGAAGTATCATTTTTGGTAATTCAATCAGCAGTTTTTATCATCACGATCCGCAAGCTTGTAACAATATCCTTGTAAAATGTTTAAAATAGAAAAAATAAATAAAAATTGTTCATATCATCTCGTAGGTATTGTAAGAGTCCACAGAGGGAAATGAAACAGGACGTGACCTGGCAGGGCCTGGCTGTCTGATACAACTTACAATAATAATAAAAAAAATACGGTTAATTGTCAACCCATTTTACCAGCGTGGCAACGAATGACAAATGGCCTTATAAGGCAATCTACGACAGAGGCCTATGTTCAGTAGTGCCCTTTCAATAGGCTGTAAAAATGTACAAATGAATGAAGAGAGTAGAAGAACCAAAGATTTGGAACAATGTATTTTTGAGGTTGATTTCTGCATAACACGACCTCCAATATGTTTATGAAGTCAACGCTCGCTAGCACACAGAATTATATTTTTCCACGTAGAGTCATGAAAAATGTTGCAATAGAACAGACTAGAAAATTAAAGTAAACATTCAGCACCAGAGAAAAAATCAGTTGTTCCTACTGAACATAAATCGATCTGAATATCGCACAATTTGTTTGCGAGTGAGTGATAAAGCCGCAACAATTTATTTAAGGATTGTATATATGACAAACAGAATTACACTCTAGTGTTGTTTGATTTTATTTTACTATTATAAAATTAAACATTTAAAAAAATATTAACGTGCTAGCATACGTACATACATAACTAACTAGTCTAAAAGACGTTGTTCTGGACTTTTCAGTAGGTGGCGCGATGAGTTAGATCTAAATATTTATTTATTTCTCATTTATTACAGCCTATCCCTGCTGATCATAAGCCTCTCCCAGACTACCTGTACCTGTAGCAACCATGGTAAAGCCACATTAGTTGAATAATTCATCGCCGAAAAAAAACATAGTATGCGAGTAACCCAGGTTCAACCCCGGCCAGCACCAATGGAGTTTTTAATTGCAACTTTTAGTAATGAAATACTAAGTACTTAACTGAGAATATGTTCCAAGTAAATAAATTTTTGTGTTTCCTGAAAGGTCCAAAATAAACCTTTATTTTAACTAGAGACTAGCTACCTATTATATTATTGTTTTGAATCACTTTTTATATATCGCACCTTTAATAATAAACCGAAATAATTCAAAAACCACAATTGTTGGGAAATCGTTTTCAAAGTTTGGCCAGTAAGACTCCCTACGTATTTTTATAAATAAAAATAAATTCAGGTACTATACAGAAATGCTTGTAACGTTTTTAAATTCTCTATAAATTAGTCTTCCAAATGATATTATTTAATCGTAACATATGTTTTTTTAAATTTGAAAAAAACATAGCTTTAAATATAGTGAGTGACTTAATTCATTTTATGATTAAAATTAAAATTGATATCTAAAATTTTATATGATACAAAATATATTCGTGCATTTTATTATTAACATATATGTTTATAATTTGATGTATTAAGATATAATGCTCTTTGCATAAATTAAGAAGGTAACCGTTTAGTCCTATTTCTTAAAACGACTTTATGATATTAAAGGAAGGCGGCTTTTTCAAGGAAAATTCATTTTATTATTACGTATTACACTTTAATTAACGATGAGATTTGGTATAAATTTAGAAGAACGCCATTATAGTTTCATCTTATTTAAATCTTAAAATTATACTTAAGAATACAAGATACTTTACTTCGTGAAAACTATAAATTAGCACAAAAATTAGTATAATATCTAGATCGACTTTTATTATATTAATATCTATACCAAAAATAATTTTAGATAAAAAAAAATATTTGAAATAATATATAACATAATAAACCAAAGTTCAGAAGTCTATAGGTAACTCTCTACAACACACAATGATTATTATTGCTTATTTTTGGTAAAAATGATCCATTCTGAAAATGATATATCTAGTAAAAATGATAAAAAACAAAACAAAATATTATCACATATTTATACTCATTGGTGAACAGGATTAATCCTACAAAGTAGTGGACAAAATAGTTAAAGTAAGCTTTATAGTAAAAAGAGAACTTTTACAATAACGTGTTATAGAAATTTGCATAGTAAGATGGAATTAGCCCCTTTGTGAGGAGTTCTTTCAAGTCCTTTTTCTTATTGGCACTTAATGACTGCTTTTCGGTATATGCTTGTGTTAGTTGAACTTCATTTTCGTGCTTCATCTTTTTTCTTTTGTTTCGCACGTCCACCTCCTTGTATGATTGGTCCTCATATGAATTCTTATAGTAAAATTTAAAAGGATTACCCTTAAACATACTTAATTGTTTTATCTCATTCCAGTTCACTGTCTCTCCAGCAATATTGGTATGAAAATTATACCCCCAATCCTCTTGCAGGTCTTTAATATTTATAAATGAGTCGAATGTCATTTCGTAAACGTTTATAGGTGGGTTACTTTTTTTTTTGCAGACTTGATCAATGCAATATATTGATCAGGGGTATAAATTGGACCTAACTTAAGGTTTTTTTTTAATTTCCTTTTCAATTAGGCTATGCACGCTGTCTGCTTCATTCTGTGTGTGACCTCTGATAAGGAATTTATGAGTAATACTATAAATGTTTAATTTTTGTACAGCATACAAATACAATGTTGCTATAAATTTGTTTTTATTCTGACCGCAACAGTTATCAGGATAAAAAATAATATTCTTTTCTGCTGTCCCTTCTTCGCTACTGATTTTATTTAAATAATCCCACACACATGATCCGATTTCAATAGCCCCCCGTTTTCCGTCCAAAAATAACAGTAAACGTTATTATAAGCATTTCTGTTATCCTTGTTGTTAAGTTCTGTCAGTGTTAGATTATAGCTATTTAATTTAGACTTATAATAAAAAGCCGACGTTTCTCCTCTGGGACATTGTAAAACGGCTTCTAAGTCGTAAACAACGACCTTGTTCACTGCATCTGCTTTAATTCTGTCATTTAATTTTTCCTTTCTACTAAGCTCCTTCTCTTTTAAATGTGTTTGATATTTATCTTCTATGAGCAATTTTTGGCTACTGTTAGCGTTCTCATAACTGACACATAAATCGCACTGATCCTTTTTGGGGCAAAAGAAACTTAGATTAAAGGTTGTGTTAAAGATTTTGTAATAGGTTATGTAGTTACCGGCTTCTTTACCATTATCATTTTGTATCTTAACAAAATCTTTGTAAAGATCTTTAATTGTTTTACCACCTTCTATGTATTCCCTATTGGTGTTTGACCTAACATAATGTGATTCCATCCGAGGAATGGATTCAATATGTTTTTAATGTCAACCAGCGATTCGGGATCTATCTTTTTATTGTGGCCATGTTTCCCACGCCTTTCCTCCATCAAAAATCCATTTTCGTTTGTATTTATCCTAATAGTATGTATCATGCGATCAGTTATATCTATCGTGCTTTTAAAAAATGTTTTACATACTCTTACCTTATTGCCATTGACAATAAAGAAAAAAGCCTTGTTAGGACGACGTGGATTTTCTGCGTTTGTGTATTTGTATTTTGACTGAATATCAATCATACACGAATTTTTAAACGATCTCTGTTGGCTTAGGTCTCCCAGTTTCCAAAAGTTATTAAAAATAACGTATCTTACTGAGTCATTAATTTTTTGATTACAATTCAGTCTACAATTTGAGCAAGGCAGCTTCAAACATCGAGCCGGGAAGATTTTTTGAGTCTTAGATATAGATTTGTAGGATTGACCCTTGTTTCGCTTTATCTTCATTCGGTTTTGTCTCCAGTTTTCTGGACGTTTCCGCCTTTTGCGACCTGCTTTGACGTGCTGGTCTGTAGAATCAGTATCTGAGTTTGAACGCGATGGTAATAAATAATTCTTATTTATATGACCAGAAAAGTTAGCAAATTTGTCCTCAAAGTTGTAAGTTGGGTCCTTTATATCGTCATCTAAATCACTCTCATCAGTGTATCGAGGAGAAATAATAATTGGATCATCTCTAGTACACAATCTTCGCTCTCGTACGCTATTATCGTATACCTGAAAATAAAAATGTCTTAGAAATATAAGAACTAGGTTTAGAAATAAAACTATAAATGAAGAATATTACATGAAATGTTACATCATTCTTTGTTGTATAGTTAACAGTAACCTCCAATTCAGGTACGGGTGTAGTTGTAATGGCTATGTCATTTTGTGGTTGGCTGTATATATAAGCTTGTTCGTTAGTTGTTTCTGAAGAAACTGAGCTATCGGAATCCGAAGACGATGAATAAGAGCTCGACAAAGAGGAATTCGAACTTGAGCATGATTGGTGCCGTAAGTTCTTGCTTACTTGTGGCTTATCTTCGTTAGAAGTACCTTCGCTATCGTAGTTTGGTACAAGATTAAGTTTTGTTTGACTGACTGATTGATACTGAGTGACATTTTCTACTTTTTGGGAACTGGCAGTTTCAGCAACTACATGCGCGACCTGAAATTTTGCATTGTTAGGTAAATAGTACAATACTTAAGTTAAAAATGCAACATTGGTACATAGAAACTTACTTCTGTATCGCATGGGTTAATATTTTCTATATTCTCTTGACTTATTTTCTGAAACATTGGCTGAAATACAATAAACTTAATATAAATTTGATAAAATTATAACATTGTTATTAGGTTACAGTGTGAACTAATTTATGTCTGAAAGGAACTACAAAAATATCATAAAAAATATGTACTTAATTGCGTCTGTGTGCAAATGCATTTATGCGAAGCTTACTTGCGCCCCATTAAAAGAGTGGAAATACTAACTTCAAAAGCGCATATTACTGTTAGGTTGGTAGCACTATATCTACTACCTAACATTCTCATGAACATAGTATTAACAATATTTAATCCAATTACTTACAATATCACAGGTATCTTGTTTTACGCATTCCGATAAGCTGGCGGATGTGTGGTCACTATGGGACTCCTTAGTTTTCAAAACCAAACCCAAAATTCTTCGACTTCTATGTGACATAACTTTTGAATACTAAATATCTGTTAATCACAAAGAGAAATAACATTAAATATGAAACAACATCTTACTGCTAAATAAACATTAAACCGGCACAAATCATATTCTCAAGTTTATTGTAAAAGAAAATTATTAATTCATAGAAATAACATTTAATATTTTGCTAAGCATCGAAAACTTTTAACAATAAAATGCAACAACTTCAAAAGGTCCTTACGAGTAATGATAATATTTTATCCTAAACTGAATTAAGTCTATTTATTGCACAATAAAATAGCAGTTTTTTTAGTAAAAGGAAACAATAAAAAATAAATCACTTTTAAAATAAAATTCTAGTATTGCAATTCATTACCTGTTAAAAATAAAACGAACTACTGGGTTTTACCACGCGTTTACAATCGTCTCACTTTTGTCACTGTTGGAGCTGGGCGTGCAACTTAGAACAAATTTTGAGAACTAAATGATATTTTTTTTTGTGCTGCCATCTACATTCCAAAGCACTAGACTCAATTAGACGCACCACGCCACTACGCAGTTAATGGCGGTCACTGATAGTTGAGGTTAATTTGATATTAATATTAATTTCAAATTATTCTGATTTCTCGTTTGTTTATATGCTTTCTTGTATTAAAATAAATATTTGCGACCCAGTGTTTTTTTAATGTGTGCAAAAATGTGAAGAAGAAGAAAAATGGCAATGTGTTTTTAAATGTGACCAAGTAAGGACTTTTTTAACAACAGCTAACAGCTAATATCTAAGAAATTGAAGGTTCAAGGCACCTCCACGGATTGCCTCATAGGTACTATTTGCCATAGCTGCCACGCTTGCACAGAGTACCTTTGTATAAACTGAAACGGCACTTTGAGGACCGTTTTCTATATCCTCGAACTAAAAGACCTTGGTAAGTCTATTAAAAACTTTCTCATTGTCATGTTAATTAGCAATTGTGTTAGCAGTGCAGACTAAAGAAACTCACTTTTATGATTGTAATATTAGCAAAGGTGGGCAAGCAAACTGTTTTTGCTTATTATAGGTATGTCAGTGTATAGCTTGACTGCGACAACTACTATGTACTATACGGCCGACGTATCTTGGCGAGTCTGAATATAGGCTCTGCGAAGTTTAGCGCATGAACACTCGTGAAGAAAACTGTTATTGTCATTTTTTTATATATACCAATGTACAAATAAAATTTCCCTAATACAGTGACCAAAAATATCAAAACACTTTGGAGACATTATAAATTAAAGATTCAATTTTGATACCTCACCTTTCGATAGGGGCAGATTTTATCACAAACACATACAATATTATTTACATTTAATACTTTTTATTTATTTACACTTATTATTATTTAATCACTGTCGCTGAGGGGGGAAATTCCTAACATAAAGTTGTCGGCCCCTTGTGTACCATGTGAGGTACTTGGCATAGGTTCATCTTCGTAATCGTCGCTCTCACTTTCAGACTCACTTTCTGAATCTGAAGCTGTATTAATGATGAATAACTGATCCGTCATTTCGTCAATAATATGGTCGCTCTTCCTATAGTCATGTTCGACCTCTTGCACTTTTCTGCATAAAGCACTCCATTCATTCTGACCCATTAAATTTACTTTTTCTTGTATGAGCTCCATTGTCCGGGTTACGTTCCAGTCGACGTTTTTAGCGGCTACGTGCCCTTTAATGGCAGCCCACACCATCTCGATGGGGTTTAAATCGGGATGATATGGGGGTAAACGAAGGACATCGTGGTTGTTTTGTTTAAACATTTCATCTATTACGTATTTTTTATTCTCGTCTTTGTTTTTTTTTATTAGATCGTAAAGTTGTGGTTTACGCATGTCCTTTTCATATGGTATACCCTTTTCTAATAACCACGATTCCATTTTTTGCCTTCTTGTCATTAGATGTAGGGGCAGGATCCATTAATTTGTTGTGGTACGGAGCATTATCGATAACCACCACCGAGTTAGGGCTCAAATTTGGAATCAGTTGGGTCCGTAACCATTTCTCATAATTTTTGAAATTCATGTCATCATGATAGTCTCCGGTTTTGCTGCCAGATTTGAACATTAGTAGCGCGTTCGGAACAAACCCTGCTTCTGACCCAGCGTGTACCATCACTATCCGCTGACCTTTTGATATCGGGCGCTTTAGTCCTTGAGCGGAACCATCTGACCACGCCTTACCTTTTGTATGTGATGAGTGGGCATACGACTCGTCAGTGAATACAATTGGTCGCCCTTCGTCCCTGTATTTTTTCATTGCCTTCAAGTACAAGATCCTTTTCAGGCGAATGTCGGTCTTCTCTATAAGAACCATTCTATTGGTTTCGGTCTTTCGCCACTTGAAACCCAAGTTTTTGATAATTGTCTTTAAGCTCGTTTTACCACCTTGAAAATTTATATTCCGTTTGAGTTTCGCTAGTAATTTGTTTATCGTCGGCATTTCTTTTTTCAGTTTTGTGGAAGTTGTGTATGCATCTTTTTACTACTCCCTGGTCAAAATTATCCATATCAGTAATAGGTTTTGATCTAGACCTTTTTTTACCAGGCGTGCGGAATACTGAAAGTAAGCCCGAAATATTGCCTTCAGTTGCGATCCGCTGTACTGTGCGTTGGGACACACCAGTTGCGTTAGCAACTCTTAAATAAACTTTATCGACATCTTTTACGCCTTCTTCTTTTTCTTTTTTCATATATTGCGTTAAATCGTAAATAATTTTTCTCGCCTGGCGATTTAACACACTGTTATGTTTTGGTGGCATGTTTGGCGAATAATATAAGTGCTAACTGACACTTGCAAATAAAACAAATAAAACAAATAAAACAAACAAAACAAACTTAACACTATTAATAAAAACAAACAACAATAACAACGAAAACTTTTGTAACCGACTGTGCTCAAGACAGAGATAGCGACACGAACACGACACCAATGCTAACGTGTGACTGAGAAATATTACCGTGTACCGAGCATTGCCGAATAAGCACGAAGCTTTACGAAGTAAACAGAAAGGGATGTCCAACACGCGTGCCTGAGGGTGTTGTTTAATCGATATTTATTCAAATCGATTAAAATTAAGACATAAAAATATATTTATTTGCAATTTATAAGGAGGTTCTAAATTTTCTCAAATAGTCGTTACTCAAGAAGACGTTAATAGATAATTGATATTTAAGTACATTATGTCTTTCAGCTGAGAAAATAATATGTTTTTAGTTTTTTTTTTTATTTAAGTCGAAATCTTGTTTATTATCAACAAAATTCACTATATTTGTAAATCTATTTCGTTTAATATCTTATATAAACAAAAATCAATAACTTCTAAATAAAACTAATCGATTGCGATATTTTATGACTAAAGGGTCGATTGTGTTTACTTATGGTCAATCTCTAGCCTAGACCACCGCCCCCGTACGTCGCCTCATGCCACCATTTTGTTCCTTAAAAAAGCTATTGCGCAACCTTCTGCGCGAAGGTCGGACTCGCCAAGATACGTCGGCCGTATTGTATGTATATGGTTATAAAGCCATAGATAGTAAAGCACTGTCTTATCAATAACTAAAGGATAGGATTGAATAGGATAGGGGAGGAATAAATTCCGTTAAAGTAAATGTTATTGAAGAACTTGAAAATAAATATCACGATTGGCACAAAATCTACACAGACGGATCAAAGAGTGCTAAAGTTGCAAGGGGCAGCTTTTTTCGACCCATATCAAGCAGTTTCTAAATCTTATAAAGTTACTAATGACATTTGTATTATGACCCTTGAACTCATTGTAATATCCGAAGCCCTAAAGTATGCTGCAAGCTGTAACTGTAACTAAATTATTATATACTCTGACAGGAAAACTGCTATCCAACATTTGGCTCGATCTGCCTCTGGAATCGTAGGTGTTTCGAAAGCCTATTGCATACTTTCCCAAATAATATATCAATTCAGTCTATGCGACATGTGCAAGAGTGCAGTGGATTCCAGCACATAGACCAAATATTGGGTAATGACAAGGCAGATAGATTAGTGAACTCTGCTTGTATAAATGGTGTAGAATATAATATTGACCCTTGCTACTCAGAAGTACTACCAAAATTCAAAAATTAATGTCAACAAATTGAAAGAATTTTTCAATGAACGCTCTAAAACGAAAGGTGTTTGGTACAAAACAATACAGAGTGAACCACCTCGAATACCTTGGTTTGTAGATACAAAATTAAAAAGAAATGCTATTAAATTAATATTTAGAATAAGAACAGGTCACATTCCATGAAAAAAGATTTCTTATTTGATGAAAAGAACTGATTCCACCTAATGTGAAACTTGTGGAGTAATAGAAAACTTACATCACTTTTTGATGGATTGTGAATGGCAACTAGGGGAAAGGGAATTATTTGGAAGGACATATAAGATAAATGTGGACAATATAGGTATTACGCAGGGCATCCTACATGCCCCCACCTTGGATATTGCATTGAGTATGTGCAGATTAATAGCAACATATAGATTTTAATAGGATTGACATGTTAACTAACAAAAACCCCTAAATAAAATAAGAAAAAAAGCTTATTCACTTTTAAATTAAAGATAATCCTATAAGAGGTATTTAATTTATTTTTTAAAGGAGAGGGGGGGACGATCAAGCAGCTCACCTGATGGTAAGTAACTATCACCGCCCATGAAGAACCACAACACCCGGGGGCATTTACAAAAGAGTAGGTTCTTTTCTTGAAAGATCAAGTTGTATCTGTCCAGTAAATTCTCTGGTGGTCATACATTAATAATTAGTAATTACTGTAACTATATTCTATTACTATACCAGTAACTTTTCCGTGTGATAAGTTAAAGATTACTATAATAGTAACAACTATGACTAATAATGGTTCAAATGTAGAAAGCGGTTACAACTCTTGTATTTATAACTTCGAAAGGAGGATGGCCAAATTTCTATAGGAGCTGGACTTTGTTTTCATGTCCCAAAACAAACTATAGTTAGATTG